GGCATCGCTACTAGGAACAAGAAGCTATTAGGGGCTCCTGGCATCGCGCAAGGACGCTACTAGGAGCAAAGACTCGGCTGACACAAATTGCATGTGAAAACCGCTCGTTGGTGGAACGTTGAACAGGACACGGTTGACCTTGCTGGGAAAACTGCTTTGCTGGTGTCCAGCCGTTTCGGTCACAAAGATGTAGTCAATGCATTGCTTCAGGCGAAGGCGCATCAGGCGCAGTTGGTATGTTGAAAATCTGAACAGATTGGGATTAGTACCAAGAAGCTAGTAGGTTGGAGGCCATTGCTACTAGTAACAAGAAACTACTAGTAGCTATATGTAGCTATTAAAGACTAAAGTTCCAGATTCTTCGTCTCAGGACCCTGCAGGACCCTGACGATTCTGGAAAATCGCCCCTATACTACGCTTGCTGCTTTGGACATGTGGACGTGGTTGGCCAGCTGCTAAAGGCTGGAGCCAATCCGAATCAGGCTTCGTCAAAAGGCAAAAGTCCTTTCTCTGCAGCTTCGTCGCATGGGCACGTGGAAGTCTTGAAAATGCTCTCTTCTGCTCTTGGTGAAACTGACAACATCTGAGTGCTCTTAGGACCTGGAGGCCATAGCTCTTAGGTTGGAGGCCGTCACTTGGCCTGCTCGGGTCGTCACCAGTCGATGTGCCGCTGGCAGGCCGCCATAGGCCGTTGAAAGGGATGGATTGGCATGCCGCCACGGTGCGGCCTCGCTCGGTGTCAAGTTGCTGAGCAGTTGCTGTTGGATCGGCATTCAAAAAGCACCAGTCGCCAAGCGCAGCCAAAAGCCAAAAGGAGAAAGTGATAAAAAGTGCGAGTCTTGAAGCGCATTGTCAAGGAAATGTCCTAGCCAACCGAATGCGGCCGACATGTTTGAGAAAACTAAGGTTCTGAGTTTCACCTGTGCCTTGGCGTATGAGCCGAACGTCGCCTTGGAGTATCCACCGGAACTTTTCTGTCTTCCAGGCAGCGGGCGGCGAGGCAAAGCACAATAAAACAATAGAGTTGCATGATGTTGTATGCCATGCGTTTGATTCAATATAAGAAACCACCAAAGGTTGTAGGCTGGTCAGACGTTCCCGTTGATGTGTCCACTGCAGCGTGCACCAGGCTTTCTGCTTTTCACATGCACTTGGGCTTGAGGAATGCGGGGTCTCAAACAAACACAGATATGCCCTATTTGCTACTAGTGGAGACCATTCCTACTAGTAGCAAGAAGCTACTAGTAGCTATTTTCTCACACTTGCCAGGTGGCTCCAGTGGAGCAGGACGGTGGTCAAGTCGAGACGGCAAGGGGTGCCTGGGCACATTGTGTATCATTTTGCTGGAAGGAATGATAAAGAATGAGCTCACTTTCTTGATTGGGTGTTGGTGAACTCTGAGCTAAGGATTGAGCCAGCTGAGTTCTTGAAATGTCGGAAGATGTATAACTGGTGTCCGGCGACCTACACCAGCTTGTTGGTTCAGATCCAAGAAGGAACGGAAATGGTAAGGGCAAACCATGCGACCCTTCAGGCAGCACTCAATTGTTTGTTTGCTTTGGATGTGATCTTGTGTTTTGCTCCTCTTTGTGTAGGTAGCCAGCAGTTCAAGAGTCAGTTGTCTTAGTTTTCGTGTCAGAAAGACGAAGAATGGGAAATTTCAGGATGAGCTATCTTCAGAATTTATACCAAGAGAATTATATATATATATATCTTGATTTTGATAATACCTTTTAGGCCTTGGTGACCCCATGAACAAAATGAGGCCCTCGCTTGGGCTTGTTGGATGGGCGTGTGAGCCGCTTGACGCAAGGTCTTGCTGATTTTGGTTCTTTGCCTTTCTTTTTTTGGCGCAACGTCTGATTGCCAACCGAAAGGAGTAAGATTGGCAGTGTGTCCTGAAATCTGAGCATCGCCTTTGGTTGCCAAAGTGACCGGAAGAAGCAAAAAGGCAGGCCATTGGAACACGACTTGATTGCGGAATCAGATGATTCTCTTTGATCACATACATTCATTTTTCCTTGCGGTCAAACTCGCGTCCCCGATGGCCACTCTAAGGCAATTTGCTGGCGAATCGGCAGATTGGAAGTACGGCAGAACTCACCTGCAATTTGTCGCAATCATCCTGTTTTGCATGTGTGCTAAGTTTGCTCTTTGTGACAGGTGAGGACATTCAGTGTGACCATGCCCATGCTTGACCGATTATATGACCTGGTTTTTCATGACAATTGTGATTCGCTGGACTTTCAGACATGGTGCGTGGGATTCTTAAGATGTCCTCACCTAGGCGATGCAGGGCTAGAGCCCCTCGGCGACCTGTTATGTGTTGCGAAGTGGAAGATTTGCAAGAGACGCCAGCAGAGTCACTTTCTGCTTTTTTGTTGGGCCAATCAACATGATTTGCGTTCATACCATGAAAAAACTATACAAATAAGGGAAGTTTGCCGAGGTGTAGGGCTAGGAGATTAGAGGCCGTCGCTACTAGGTTGGAGGCCATCGTTAGTAGGTTGGACGCCATCGCTACTTGGTTGGAGGCCATTGCTAGTAGGTTGGAGGCCATCGCTACTTACTTGGAGGCCATTGCTAGTAGGTTGGAGGGCATTGCTAGTAGGTTGGGGGCCATTGCTATTAGGCTATTCTGTGAAAGCATGTCACACATTCTCTCAGGATGAAGTTCGGAGATACAGTTCTGGGGAAGGTCACTCTGAAGGCACACTGAGTGGGCTTGCTTACATTTTGTGTAGTAGTAGACATGCATGTTTCAGCTGACTCTACCCTGAGATTCTAATGCACTCAAGTTGCAGTGCTTCTTGAGAATTCAAAACTCTGTCTTGCATGAGTCATCAGTGTTGCAAGTTTGTTCTGTACACAAAAAAACATTGGCTCAGTTTCAAGCCCAGGGAACCTGTTTGTGAACTTTCGTGAATGGACAGGTGAACTGTACTATCGGAACGCCTGCTGGCGGTGTTTGGATGTCTGATGGCCTGGACGCCCAGACGAGACGCTCTTTCACTTCGTCTTCTTTCGCATCCTGAGACGTTTTGCAGCATGTTACTAGTAGCGTTCTTGCTCCTAGTAGTAAGGCCAGCAGCCCCTAGTAGCGTCCTTTGTTCCTAATAGCGATGCCAGGAGCCCCTAGTAGCGTTCTTGCTCCTAGTAGTAAGGCCAGCAGCCCCTAGTAGCGTCCTTGTTCCTAATAGCGATGCCAGGAGCCCCTAGTAGCGTTCTTGCTCCTAGTAGCAAGGCCAGCAGCCCCTAGTAGCGTCTTTTGTTCCTCATAGCGATGCCCCTAGTAGCGTCCTTGTTCCTAATAGCGATGCCAGGAGCCCCTAGTAGCGTTCTTGCTCCTAGTAGCAGGCCAGCAGCCCCTAGTAGCGTCCTTGTTCCTACTAGCGATGCCAGGACCCACTAGTAGCGTTCTTGCTCCTAGTAGTAAGGCCAGGAGCCCCTAGTACCGTCCTTGTTCCTAGTAGTGATGCCAGGAGCCCCTAGTAGCGTTCTTGCTCCTAGTAGTAAGGCCAGCAGCC